ACGGATCAAAATGTAAAGTCCACTGACCCAAAAAAAAAGATACGAAGTCCGAATTTCTAACCTCCTGGGGGTTGGAATTTTTGTTCAAGCGTGGAAGAAGTGTTAACATTTTGGTTGACCAGATCAGATTTACACTCTATATGTACATACACGCTAATTTTATAACCTGCAACAGGTAGCAAGCCAGTTATTTCGGGGAGCATCATATATTGTATGCCATAATTGATGGCCAAAATGCTAAAGAGAAACCCATTTTCTTTCATTCTCTTCTGCTTTATTCTCGCATCAGTTGTCTTCTTTCCGCCTCTAATAGTTGCACGCAATCCTCCAGTAGTTGCACGCATACGTTCACGTAGGTTTCTCCGCCTTCACTCATCTATATCAACCCAGTTTATTTATATGGTGCTTAATTAATTAAATATAATTGCTAGCTCTTACTTTTACTCACAGTGGCTGCTTTTGGCGATCCTCATCCATCTCCATCTCCAAGTGCGCCTAGAGGAGTGGGGAAACTGGGCACGCATAATTAACAAGATGCCACTAGATTCGGGGAACTTCCCTAGTTGTGGCGTTAATCATACAGATTGTGGGAGCCCTTGAATGATTTCATCAACCTTACAAGCTAGAAAGAACACACAACGTACCTTAATAAAAACCACAGTTTCGTTATGTTAGTTGTCAAGAATTAAGAACCTTTTTTTCCTTTTTTATTTGTGACAAGTTTGTTGTTAATACTATCTTTCTTATTTTTCTCCGTAATTTTGTTTTTATCAACAAAAGTAAATCTCTTGCTATGTAGTTAATGCATACAATTGTCACCTTGTTATTTAATTATGGTTAAATGCTTAAATTTAATTTTTTAACTATTATACAGATTTCTTATAGTCTCTAAATTTAAAAAATTTTTATTCTAATCTTTAAAGTTTAGAAATTTAACTCATTAAATTTTTAATGATGTGGACAATCATTCATTAATTACTACTTATGTGGATGTGTGGATACTGTAGAGCTCCTTTTAACTTATGTCTATGCACGTGTTAAAAATATTTTTTATTATAAATGTATATAAAAATTATAAAAATTAATATTAATTTTAGTGTTAATATTAAATAAATAAATTTAATTAAATAATTAATAAATTGAATATTAATTTTTAATTTTAATATAAATTTATTAAAAAAAATATTTAATATACTTTTAAAATAGGACTAACTCAAATTAAAAGAACCATATTAGTCTTTTAAAACAAAATATAAATATTTTGTTGGTCAACAAAATAAAATATAATGAAATGACTACTTTGCCCTTATCCTCAACATCTAGACCTTTCTCCTCTTATCGATTCCTTTATTTTTTTCACATTATCCAACATGAGATGGAGTTTGTAAGCGTTGTCAATTTTCCATCAATTTTCCAGCATTATCCAACACTACCACACAATCTTGTGCTCCTATCTTTCTCCTTCAATTGCGCTAAAAAATAATAGAATTATCTCAATCTTTCAACAAAATAGAAAATTTCCTATCGGTACAAATTAATCAAGTATCTAATTCGCATCAAAAGACATAATCTCCCCCATCCAATTCAAACCCTAGCTTCAATAAAGCACCCCACTTATCAGACTCTCATCCTTCTTCCTCTTCTCCGGCTACCCATTCTTTTCCTTCTCCTTTTTCTCCTTTCCCTTCTCTCTCTCCTTCATTCCCTCAACGACAGGACCCATAGATCAGGGTTACTCACCAATGTGCAAGCAAGGACCCAAATTTGGGTCCCTTTGCCATCGCGCGAGCTCGAGCAAGGACCCAGATCTGGGTCCCTTTGCCATTGTGCGAGTTCGACCAAGGACCTAGATTTAGGTCCCCTCTCGCCATAGTCGCGGGATGGCAAGGAATCCCTCGTCACAGTCGCCTGGAGCCTCTCGTCACAGTCGCACGACGACGAGTCCGAATTCCTCTTCGTTGATGCCATCACTGTCTCACCGTTCATTGAGTTCGAGTTTGAAAGTTCTGGTGTTAAGTGCGGAAAAAGCAATATATCCACGAGGTTTTCTCACTGTTCATTGTGTTTTGGGTTTAAATAAAGTTTATTTTATGATTAATAAAAAAAATAAATATCAATATATTATAGTATTTAAAATAATTATTTAAATATTTTTAATAAATTTTTTAATATATTAATTTATTAAAAGTATAAATAATTTTATTAATAGTATTTTTCTTTTTTAACTGAAGTTAAATTAGGTAGTCTTGATATTTTGATTTCACGGATATCTTAATTTTTTATAATCTCATTAATAAATTTGAGTTAAAACCCTAATTTAAAGCCTTCAATATTTTTAGAATTCTTAATTAAATCCTTAAATTTTTGTTAAAATAAATAAGTCCTAAATTTGACGATTTAAGGAATTTAACTCATCTTTTTTACAATGAACTATAAACATAACGTCTATTTATACATTACTTATATGAATAAGTTATTAATATATCATTATTTATATAATAAGTATTAAATTTATTCATATAAATAACGCACAAATAGGTGTTAAACACTTGTAGTAAGGGAAATGGTTAAATGGTTTAAATCAACAAATTTAGAGATTTATTTATTTCAATAAAAGTTTAAGAGTTCAATAAAAAAATTTAAAATAAATTTGATGATGGTGTTTATCTTATAAAAAGAAAAGGAAAATGTTAATTATTTGATAATTAAAGTCAATTATATTTTAAATTCCAATTGAATATGGAAAAGGATTAAATATGTTGAAATAATATACTCTTTTTTAGCAAATTAAAGTTTTTATCTTATAAAACAAAAATAAAATAATTTATTAATGAAATTTAATATTTATCTCTAATTAAGTATTACTTCAATAAAATTTTTTATTTAATATAT